AGAAGAAGAAGAAGAAGAAGAAGAAGAAGAAGAGGAGGAGGAGGAGGAGGAGGAGGAGGAGGAGATTGGATTTTTACCCCGCCTTTCACTACCCAAAGGTGTCTCAGAGTGGCTTACAAACTCCTTTCCCTCCCCCTCCCCACAACAGACACCATGGGAGGTAGGCAGGGCTGAGAGAGCTCTTGACAGAAACTGCTCTTTTCCAAGGACAGCTCTTGTCAGAACTACGGCTTGCCCAAGGTCATCCAGCAGGTGCAAGTGGAGGAGTGGGGAATCAAACCCACTTCTCCCAGATTAGAGTCCGCGCACTTAACCACGACACCAAACTGGCTCTCGAGGAGAAGCAGAAGCAGAAGAAGAAGAAGAAGAAAAGGAGGAGGAGGAGGAGATTGGATTTATACCCCGCCCTTCACTACCCAAAGTTGTCTCAGAGTGGCTTACAAACTCCTTCCCCTTCCCCTCCCCACAACACACACCCTGTAAGGTAGGCGAGGCTGAGAGAGCTCTTGACAGAAACTGCTCTTTTTTCAAGAACAGCTCTTATCAGAACGACGGCTTGCCCAAGGTCATCCAGCAGCTGCGAGTGGAGGAGGAGTGGGGAATCAAACCCGCTTCTCCCAGATTAGAGTCCGCGCACTTCACCACCGCACCAAACTGGCTCTCAAGGTCGTCCACTGACCACCCACATATACAGATGCGTTCTCCCAGATTAGAGTCCGCACTCCTAACCACTACGCCAAAACCACTGCACCAAAATGAATAAATAAACTGGGGGGGGGGCTGCATTGCCCCAGGAGTGGGTGGGGAGCAGCTAGAGGGGCCGCCTGGGAAGCCGCGGGGTGGGGAGAAATGAGCAGCCAGCCAGCCCCCTCCCCAGAGGCAGGGCGTGGGCTCCTCAAAGACCCTCCTCACTTACCCTCTTCTCCTGAGGGCCAAGAGGACCGTTCTCACCGGTTGGTCCCGGAGAACCCTGGAAGGGAAGGAGAGGGGAGGGCGGGGCGGAGGGAGCCAGAAAGAGAGGGGAGAGCGGGTCAGAGGGAGCCCGGAACCTGGAGGACTGGTCGGAAGGAGCAGGCAGGAGGGAGACTCTTGCGCTGGAGCTCAGGGTGAAGAACACCCGCCAGGGATCAATGACAACGGGGGCTGTCTCTTCCGAGGCCAGCATTCGGGGGCTTCAATCCAGTGTGAAACAGACGTGCCCCCCCACCCGCACCCCACTCACCGCCTCCCCTGGTTCTCCGTCTTCTCCCCGCTCGCCTTTGGCTCCGTCCTGGCCCTGTTGGAAGAGGACGTGGTTGGCCCCTTGGCACGAATCCCGGCACCTCCCCGGGGGCTCTGGGGGGCTCGGAGCCAAGGAAGAGGGCCCATACTCACCCGGGGTCCCATTTCCCCTGGGGGCCCTGGATCTCCGGGGAAACCGACTGGACCCTGACAGAGACAGACACGGAGGGACGTCAGGAGTTGTGGGGGGCAGAAGCCAAGGGGGGTTTTTTTGTATATAAAATGTTGTATTCGTTTCAGCAAAAGTAAGGACAGACAACTACAGAAAATGAGAATGACATATAACAGAAAAAATGAAGTAACATCAATGGGGCATATACTCTTGTTTCAGTTTGATTTAACGTATTAAAATAGAATCAGGTTCTTATACCCCTATTCCGGTTTGGTCTTTGATATTGTAGCAATTCTTTTCATAGTTTGTATTTAAAAGGTCAAGGTTCCCTTGCTCGAAAGCCAGTCGAGTCCGACTCTAGGGTTGTGGTGCTCATCTCCGTTTCAAAGCCGAAGAGCCAGCGCTGTCCGAAGACGTTTCCGTGGTCATGTGGCCGGCATGACTAAACACCAAGGCGCACGGAACGCTGTGACCTTCCCACCAAAGTGGTACCTATTTATCTACTTGCAATTTCTTGCTTTCGAACTGCTAGGTTGGCAGGAGCTGGAACCAGAGACGGGAGCTCACTCCGTCATGCGGCACCCGGGTCTCGAACTGCTGAACTACTGACCTTCCACAGCCTGCAGTTCAGGGTCTTAACCGCTTGAGCCACCGCAGCTCCATAGTTTGTATTTAGTTTGATAGTTTCCCAAGATAATTTCCCATCCATTTATAAAATCTCAACCAGTTTCTTTCAAAGGGTTCTTCTTTTTCATTTTGTAATTTTAAAGTTAATTTGTCCATTTCTGCTGCTTCCAAAAGTTTGTCAATTATTTCTTCTTTCGTTGGTGTTTCTTCTTTTTGTCCAAAACTTTGCATATAGTAGTCTAGCAGGAGTTACAGCCAAGTTTTAATTTCCCCCCTCCCCAGAAAAAAAAAACAACTCTTCATGCAACGGATCCAGGGTTCTCTTCACGACATCCCAACCCATTCAACCTCCCTTCGTTCGCAGAGTGAATACTGCATAGTAATTTTAAAAGTGCCAAACAAAGGTCAAGTAGTTGTTGTGGATTTTCCGGGTTGTGTGGCCGTGGTCTTGGCATTGTAGGACCTGACGTTTCGCCAGCAGCTGTGCCTGGCATCCTCAGAGGTATAACACAGAAAGATGGAGGAGTCTCTGTGTCAAGGTGAGAAGAAAAATGGTAGGCAGGTGATTTATATCTACTCAGGAAGGTGGGGTAGGGCTGAGTCGTTATCCTGTAGGAGTCCCCCAGGCTGTAAACATACTAATGGAGGAGCTTTCCTGAGGAGGTTCTTTTGCATATGCATTGGCTGTATTGAGGCTGTGGAAATCGAGTTGCTCCTTCTCGTTAGTCTAAACCTTCAGACTTGTTCCGTTTAAGCAGTCAAGGACAACCGGGACATTTTAGCTCGACTACACACATTTCATAACAGCAGTTCGTTTCTCTCACATTTCTCTCACGTTCGCTTCCGAACAAAAAGGTCTGGCAGTTCACAGGAACGACTCCTGAACCCACCCGCCTTATTAACTGGATGCAACCAGGGGCGTGGCCAGAAAAATCTGGTTGGTGGGGTGCGGGGAAATCTGTGGGGGAACCCACAGATTGTAAGCCGCCCTGAGCCCGCGTAGCGGGGAGGGCGGGGTATAAATTAAATCTATAAATAAATAAATAAATAAATAAATAAATAAATATAAACCCTGGGCACACTTGCGGCTCCTCTTGCAGCCGCAGAAGCTCCTGAAATGTATTTGCATTTTTGGTCTGAGGGGGCAGTATTCATCTTGGAGGGGGCATTGCCCCCAGACGCCCCCTGGTGGCTATGAGCCTGGATGCAATGCCCGCCCACCTGCACACGATGAGTCAGAAGCTCTCTTTCAGAAAAACCCACCCGTCTGTCTCCGCCCCCTGGCGGAGACCCCGGCAGCTCCTCCAGCTGAGCGGTTTCCACGGCATCTCTTGGCAATCCTTTTAGAACCAAGGCTCACCCCTCCTTTGGACACGCACCCCAATCTCCATGGTATCACTTACTGGGTTTCCCTTGGGTCCGTCATCCCCAGTCGGGCCTTTCCCACCCGGAGGTCCAGGCACGCCGGCTGCCCCTGCTTCCCCCTTCTCGCCTCTTTCACCCCGCGGGCCCTGAAAGGAGAGAAATGGGGGAGAGTTTAGAATGACGTGGGCAGGGCTGCTGCACCCGCCTAGCATGTGGAAGTGGGAGGCGTGGACTATGGGCAAAACTTTGGAGAGAAAGGCTGGATTTTTCTCACTCCCCCAAAATGACAGAATTTGAGGGCATCCAATGAAGCTGACGGGCAGTAGGTTACGGATGGACAAAAGGTAGTACTTGTTTACACCGTGATACGAATGTGGCATTCGCTGCCAGAGGATGCAGTGATGGCCACAGGAACAGACAGCCTTCAAAGGGGACTAGATAGATTCATGGAGGACAACTCTATCAACGGCTACTAGCCATGGCGACTGAGGGGGACCTCCACATTCAGAGGCGCTAATCCTGTGAATCCCCAGTGCTAGGAGGCCACATCGGGGGAAGGCCTCAGCCTCCATGCCATTTCTTGGCCCTCCAGAGGAACTGGCTGGCCCCTGTGTGAGACAGGAGGCTGGACTAGAGGGACCCTCACTGGTCTGATACAGAAGGGCTCTTCTGGGGTTCTTCTCAGGGGAATGGTCTCGGCCTCTCCGCCCTGTTGCTGGCCCTCCAGAGGAACTGACTGGCCCCTGTGTGAGATGGGAGGCTGGACTAGATGGACCTTCACTGGTCTGATCCAGTAGGGCTCTTCTGGTGTTCTTATCAGGGGAAGGCCTCGGCCTCTCTGCCCTGTTGCTGGCTCTCCAGAGGAAATGGTTGGCCGCTGTGTGGGTTGGGGAGCTGGACTAGATGGACCCTCACTGGTCTGACCCCGCAGGGCTCTTCTGGTGTTCTTCTCAGGGGAAGGCCTCAGCCTCTCTGCCTTGTTGCTGGCCCTCCAGAGGAACTGACTGGCCCCTGTGTGAGATGGGAGGCTGGACTAGATGGACCTTCACTGGTCTGATCCAGTAGGGCTCTTCTGGTGTTCTTATCAGGGGAAGGCCTCGGCCTCTCTGCCCTGTTGCTGGCTCTCCAGAGGAAATGGTTGGCCGCTGTGTGGGTTGGGGAGCTGGACTAGATGGACCCTCACTGGTCTGACCCCGCAGGGCTCTTCTGGTGTTCTTCTCAGGGGAAGGCCTCAGCCTCTCTGCCTTGTTGCTGGCCCTCCAGAGGAACTGACTGGCCCCTGTGTGAGATGGGAGGCTGGACTAGATGGACCTTCACTGGTCTGATCCAGTAGGGCTCTTCTGGTGTTCTTATCAGGGGAAGGCCTCGGCCTCTCTGCCCTGTTGCTGGCTCTCCAGAGGAAATGGTTGGCCGCTGTGTGGGTTGGGGAGCTGGACTAGATGGACCCTCACTGGTCTGACCCCGCAGGGCTCTTCTGGTGTTCTTCTCAGGGGAAGGCCTCAGCCTCTCTGCCTTGTTGCTGGCCCTCCAGAGGAACTGACTGGCCCCTGTGTGAGATGGGAGGCTGGACTAGATGGACCTTCACTGGTCTGATCCAGTAGGGCTCTTCTGGTGTTCTTATCAGGGGAAGGCCTCGGCCTCTCTGCCCTGTTGCTGGCTCTCCAGAGGAAATGGTTGGCCGCTGTGTGGGTTGGGGAGCTGGACTAGATGGACCCTCACTGGTCTGACCCCGCAGGGCTCTTCTGGTGTTCTTCTCAGGGGAAGGCCTCAGCCTCTCTGCCTTGTTGCTGGCCCTCCAGAGGAACTGACTGGCCCCTGTGTGAGATGGGAGGCTGGACTAGATGGACCTTCACTGGTCTGATCCAGTAGGGCTCTTCTGGTGTTCTTATCAGGGGAAGGCCTCGGCCTCTCTGCCCTGTTGCTGGCTCTCCAGAGGAAATGGTTGGCCGCTGTGTGGGTTGGGGAGCTGGACTAGATGGACCCTCACTGGTCTGACCCCGCAGGGCTCTTCTGGTGTTCTTCTCAGGGGAAGGCCTCAGCCTCTCTGCCTTGTTGCTGGCCCTCCAGAGGAACTGACTGGCCCCTGTGTGAGATGGGAGGCTGGACTAGATGGACCTTCACTGGTCTGATCCAGTAGGGCTCTTCTGGTGTTCTTATCAGGGGAAGGCCTCGGCCTCTCTGCCCTGTTGCTGGCTCTCCAGAGGAAATGGTTGGCCGCTGTGTGGGTTGGGGAGCTGGACTAGATGGACCCTCACTGGTCTGACCCCGCAGGGCTCTTCTGGTGTTCTTCTCAGGGGAAGGCCTCAGCCTCTCTGCCTTGTTGCTGGCCCTCCAGAGGAACTGACTGGCCCCTGTGTGAGATGGGAGGCTGGACTAGATGGACCTTCACTGGTCTGATCCAGTAGGGCTCTTCTGGTGTTCTTATCAGGGGAAGGCCTCGGCCTCTCTGCCCTGTTGCTGGCTCTCCAGAGGAAATGGTTGGCCGCTGTGTGGGTTGGGGAGCTGGACTAGATGGACCCTCACTGGTCTGACCCCGCAGGGCTCTTCTGGTGTTCTTCTCAGGGGAAGGCCTCAGCCTCTCTGCCTTGTTGCTGGCCCTCCAGAGGAACTGACTGGCCCCTGTGTGAGATGGGAGGCTGGACTAGATGGACCTTCACTGGTCTGATCCAGTAGGGCTCTTCTGGTGTTCTTATCAGGGGAAGGCCTCGGCCTCTCTGCCCTGTTGCTGGCTCTCCAGAGGAAATGGTTGGCCGCTGTGTGGGTTGGGGAGCTGGACTAGATGGACCCTCACTGGTCTGACCCCGCAGGGCTCTTCTGGTGTTCTTCTCAGGGGAAGGCCTCAGCCTCTCTGCCTTGTTGCTGGCCCTCCAGAGGAACTGACTGGCCCCTGTGTGAGATGGGAGGCTGGACTAGATGGACCTTCACTGGTCTGATCCAGTAGGGCTCTTCTGGTGTTCTTATCAGGGGAAGGCCTCGGCCTCTCTGCCCTGTTGCTGGCTCTCCAGAGGAAATGGTTGGCCGCTGTGTGGGTTGGGGAGCTGGACTAGATGGACCCTCACTGGTCTGACCCCGCAGGGCTCTTCTGGTGTTCTTCTCAGGGGAAGGCCTCAGCCTCTCTGCCTTGTTGCTGGCCCTCCAGAGGAACTGACTGGCCCCTGTGTGAGATGGGAGGCTGGACTAGATGGACCTTCACTGGTCTGATCCAGTAGGGCTCTTCTGGTGTTCTTATCAGGGGAAGGCCTCGGCCTCTCTGCCCTGTTGCTGGCTCTCCAGAGGAAATGGTTGGCCGCTGTGTGGGTTGGGGAGCTGGACTAGATGGACCCTCACTGGTCTGACCCCGCAGGGCTCTTCTGGTGTTCTTCTCAGGGGAAGGCCTCAGCCTCTCTGCCTTGTTGCTGGCCCTCCAGAGGAACTGACTGGCCCCTGTGTGAGATGGGAGGCTGGACTAGATGGACCTTCACTGGTCTGATCCAGTAGGGCTCTTCTGGTGTTCTTATCAGGGGAAGGCCTCGGCCTCTCTGCCCTGTTGCTGGCTCTCCAGAGGAAATGGTTGGCCGCTGTGTGGGTTGGGGAGCTGGACTAGATGGACCCTCACTGGTCTGACCCCGCAGGGCTCTTCTGGTGTTCTTCTCAGGGGAAGGCCTCAGCCTCTCTGCCTTGTTGCTGGCCCTCCAGAGGAACTGACTGGCCCCTGTGTGAGATGGGAGGCTGGACTAGATGGACCTTCACTGGTCTGATCCAGTAGGGCTCTTCTGGTGTTCTTATCAGGGGAAGGCCTCGGCCTCTCTGCCCTGTTGCTGGCTCTCCAGAGGAAATGGTTGGCCGCTGTGTGGGTTGGGGAGCTGGACTAGATGGACCCTCACTGGTCTGACCCCGCAGGGCTCTTCTGGTGTTCTTCTCAGGGGAAGGCCTCAGCCTCTCTGCCTTGTTGCTGGCCCTCCAGAGGAACTGACTGGCCCCTGTGTGAGATGGGAGGCTGGACTAGATGGACCTTCACTGGTCTGATCCAGTAGGGCTCTTCTGGTGTTCTTATCAGGGGAAGGCCTCGGCCTCTCTGCCCTGTTGCTGGCTCTCCAGAGGAAATGGTTGGCCGCTGTGTGGGTTGGGGAGCTGGACTAGATGGACCCTCACTGGTCTGATCCAGCAGGGCTCTCCGGATGGTCTTATGAACCTGGGGATCTCTGTAGGTCCAGGTAAAGGAAGGCACGTTTTCATGTTCCGGTTCTGCTAGCCGTCCCATGGTAGCTGCCATGTCTGCGGAGCAG